CGGAATGGCGGGAATTGGTGGCGGCGAAGACCCGAGAGGAGGAGGCCTCGGGCCCGAAGAGCGGAGATCCCTGTTCTGGGCATTCAGACTTTAATTTCCCCGTCTGTGCTATGGAAGGAAGAGGGAGACCGAGTGAGCGCTCCAAGCTGTAAAAACGGGAGGTCAGGGTCCTCCCAGGCCCGGCACCCCAGGACTAGAGTGGGGAGGTGGGGCGGTGTTCTCCCGTCAGTCCGTGAGAGAGGGGGTACTGGCTGCCTTTGTCCCGACCCAGAAGTCTGCCTCCTCCGACCCCGGACGCTGGACATCCTGTGCTCTGCTTCTGAGGCCCAGCCTCCCTGGACTGGGAGACTCTGCACCTTCCAGATTCTTCATGCCATCTCCATGCCCAGCCAGTGTTGCCCTGGTGTCCCCACCCTGAAGACCACGGTGGCTTTGGCCACAGCAGGCTGCGGTGGATGTTGTGGAGTCACTGGCTTCATCCTTAGCCGGGAGGGCCTCGGGTGGGGCTGGGAAGGCTTAGTCGTGCGAGACGACCCCCCATCCCGAGTCTCAGCAGATCCCCACCAGGGACTCCACTTGTCCATGGCTGTGGTGTCGACACCTCATACATAGCTCAGCCTCTGCCTTTTGGAATCTTCCAGGCTTCCCAGGTTCTGCTGTCCCTTAGGAAAATCCCAGCCAGTGCCCCTCCACGTGTGTCCCCTCACTGCTGGCCGGTTGCTGGCTGGGCTGCCTCCCTGTGCATGCCCGGGAGAAGCCTAAGGGCAACCACACACATCTGGCAGGAGACAGGCTTTCAGCCAGTCCGAAGAGGGCAATGGCTGGTCTCAAGAGCAACTGATGGGCCAGAGATTTTGATGTTCCAACCTGGTGCTGGTCTTGCCACCTCCACTAAGTGGGTGTGGCCTTGGGTAAATCACTGAGGTGGGAATTCATTTTCTCATCTGTAGAGCAAGGATAGTGTTGCTAGCGATTTCTAATGAGGCCTGAGATGGAACAGAGATGGGCTGGGGTGGGGGAGGCGGTGTTGGGGCAGAGCAGAGGGCTACGCTTGAGCTGGGGAACCCTGGAGGAAGGGTCAAGAGATGGCACAAGGGACCACAGTGGGCAGAAGGAGTTGTGTGGACAGGAATTGGCTTGAGAACAAGCATGCGTCTTCAGGGTGTCCTAGTTCGGCACCTGGGTGTAGGACCACAGCCCTTGATGGTTCACAGCAGTAACCTGAAATCCCACAGCAGCTCTTGCTACCCTCTAACCTGCCTGATCCTGAGCCATCTCAGCCCTGATGAGCTGGAATTGCCATTTTGGCATCCTCGTGAGATAGATCTGTATTCTCCGGCGTGACTTTAACCTGCCCTGAGAATTGTGTATACATTGTGTATACGTGGGAGGGATTGGCTGTGCAGAAGGAAGGACGGCCAGACAGATGGACTGCCTAGCTGGGAGGGGTTTTGGTGTGGCAGTGGAGATCCTGAGAAGAGGAGACTCCTGTGATCGGGTTCCGATTCGGTGAGAGAGGAGTCCCAGCCCAGCAGGAAGGGTCTTGGCTCTGGGACATACTGGGTGCTACCAAAGGGTAGCGGGTGGCCCAGGGGCCCCAGCTGGAGAAAGATAGTGGTTAGGAGGGTAGGTAGGACTGGGTGCCTAAGGGTGGGTTCTTGGTTCATGTTGGCCCAGATGGGGGGTGTGTGGAGCAGAGCTGGGATACACAGAGGAGATCCTAGGAGAGTAGTTACCTCTTCAGCAGGAACCAGGGCCCTGGCTGGTGGGAAGAAACAGTTTAGTGGCAGAGAGAGAGAGACTCCAGGCCCTGTAATCTGGAAGCCATGAGATGCTGCCAGAGACTGGGGAGGGTCCAGACAGCAGCCAGCAGAACGGGGTGGATGATGGGGAAGGCAGGACCCCCTTGGGCCTTCTCTGACATGCAGCTGAGCCTTGCACAGACTCTTTTCTTTGCTAGAATCTCTTCCACTTTTCTTTCTTCACCTCCCTGTCCAGCTCGAAGGCCCCCTCCTCTGGGCCCACGTCCACTCCCGCAAGTTAGGCTTGTTCCGGAAGTTGCTGGTCAGGGGCTGGTGCTGCCCTGCTGTGGCACCTGCCTGTATGGATGCTGCTGTTCCAATAGCCCAGGTCTTTTGGCGGAAGCCTCCAGCTGAAGGAGAGGCTGGCCCTCTCCTCACATTGCCTCACAATGGCCCCTGCAAGCCGTGAGCTCAGCTGGGATGGGGGTGGAGGGACAGTGTCAGGGCTAAAGTGGGCTACACTCAGGCTGGTCCAGCTTCCCCTGCCCTTTTCCTTCAGCTTCGGGGCTGCATCGTCACATCCATGTCCCAGGGTCCCATGGGGTCCCCATCCAGCCGCCTCAGTGTACTCAGCAGTGCTCCTTCAACAACCCAGCCTCCTGCTAGAGTCTTCTTCTGGGCCCTCTGGGGTCTGTGTGCTCAGGACTTCCCGTCCCTGCTTCAGGCAGTGCAGCAATACCTGTCAGCTGCCATTTGCGGGGAGGCGCAGGTGCTGGGCCTTTCACGTGGTGCTGTCTCACCACAGCCCATGCACACGTGAGGCGCCGCAGCGCAGAGGGGAAGCCTCGCACTCGGGCTGAGGGAGTTGTGTGATGGAATTGGTGCGGGCCTCACGCCGGCCACTTCCACCTCAGGGTGGGCTGTCAGCACCTCTGTGAAGCAGGGCCCTTGGAGGAGATTTGTCTAGAGCAGCGGCTGGTGATGGGGTGAGTGGCCACCTCCAGTGAGGAGGACGGGGGACCTGTGGCCTCTCTGGCATCTGGCCTGGACATAGGAGGATGGCGAGGGCTCTTATGGGCCCCCTGTAGGGAGAAGGGTGCTGTTCCAAGCCTGGTGGCTCCGGGGACAAGGCGGAGGCACCCCAGGGCTGGCCTGTATCTGGTGGTGTGGAGGCTGCTTCCAGGCAGGCCCAGTGCCTCAGCCTCCAGCTGCAGGGAGCTGGTTCTGTTTCTGCCCATATCCTGTCCCCGGGAGCAGAAAGCAGCAGCCGCATACCCAGAGGCGGTGGGGGAGGAGCACACAGAGCGTCTGCCTGGGTACCCGGGCCACAGCCAGCACCAGACATCTGAGGCGGGTCTGTGTCCTCAGGGAGTCCAGGAGGGCAGGGGGCTGAGAGTTGGTGGTCACCGAGCTCCAGGCAGCTGTCCAAGGCACCTGCTGTGTGCTGACTGATGTTGCAGGAGGGACTCTGTGGGTTTTACGGTCCTGGTGGTTCTGGGAGGCTGGTGCCCAGTCACTGCTTGTGGTTTGGGAACAGGTGTGCCACCCTGCCCATCTAGATATTATTCTTTGTTTGCTGCTCCTTCATGCTTTTACTGAGCACCTGAGAGACATTTTGGTGCTTTTTAACCTCCCTTCGTATCTGTGCTTTTCCACATTGACTGTCTCCAGGAAGTTTCTGAGAGAATTCTCCGTGCGCTTTACCAGCCCTCAGTTCTCCCTTCAGCTGCCTGCATGCCTGAAGCCCACTGCACCTGCTGTGTACTTTATTTCAATTCTTGGGTTTTTCATATCCAAAAGCTTATTTCCTGTTCATTTTCACCTGTTTGTGTTTCTGCCAGTGAGGTTCTCCATTCTCACTCTTGTTCATAGATGGCATTTCTTTGTCTCTGTGAGGATCCAAGATGTCTTTAAGAATAATTATTTCATTATTCCAGTGCCTTCTTGTCTTTCTTCATTGAACCACTCTCCATGTTTCTGATACTGTTGCTTATCTTCCTTAGCCTTAATTTTCCTCCTGTGTTTTGAAATTGGGGTTTACAGCTCATCGGAAGTGGGAGCTGAGATCTTGGGTCGGGGAATGGCCTGCAGGTACCCAAACCCCCATAGCAGCAGCTGCCACTCAGGAGTTTCCTGGGCTCTTTCTGCCTTCAGGACTCCCTGCTGTAGGCTCGGGACCCAAAGGATAGCAGCTGGTGGCACGGAGGGTCCTGTGGTCTGGCAGTTGAGATCCCTCCTGGCATCCAGATTAGGTAACGGGTGAACCTCTGACGCAGGAAAGGCGAGAGGACGGTAAGGCTGGATTCTGGGGTCCAGAGTGGTTGCAGCAGGCAGAGACACTGTGCTGTGCTCCTCTCCTCGCCTTGCCAGGTGTACAGGGCACTGCCTGGAAGCCAGCAGGGGCCTCTGACCAGCAGACTCCAGGAAGTGCCCCCACCACCTGGGCATGTGTACAGAGAGCCTTGCTAGCCTGAGGTGCAAAGAGCCAGAAGAGGTGGACGAGATGTATGAGTTTTGATTAAAAGAGGTTTTAATTAAACTCACCAGATCAGGTAGGGTAGGTGTTAAGGCCGGAAGAGGTGACAGTTTTGAGTCCGAACTCTGGGAATCCTGGGGGGCTGCTCTTTCAAGGTTTAACATGCATGTTCCACAGCCTATGTCTGTATTTAGCATGGGATAGTGTCTCTCCTCTGCCCCGTCCACAGCAAGGGACAATCATGAGGAAATATGACATTATTAATATTTAATTTCCCCTCCCACCTAGCAACAGATGACTCAAGGATTAATTAAATAGGCAGAGCCAACCTAGAGGAATAGGAAATTGCCAGCTCCTGATCCTGACCCCTACTCTCTCCCCATCTCCCCGTGTCTCAGGGAGGCTTCTGAAGGGAGGGGAGCTGAGCTGAGGTCCCAGAAGTCCCCTGTGGCTGTGTTCCATGGCACTCACCACCCTTTAATGTTGGCAGTAAGAGTGAGAGGTCACTTCGCCTTTTGAGAACACAGATATCTGTCATTTCCTGAGCTCCCAGGCAGGTTGTGTGGGCTCTTTAAAAGGGACCAGTGTAAGCATCCCGCATTCAGACAGGTGGCCTTCAAGAGAACATAGGATTTGGAGCTCAGTATGTCACTCCCCAGTTCTGGTCAGTGAAGCTCTAATCTGAAATCGAACCTAGTGGGAGCGTTTACACCACAGGAAAAGGCTACAGCTCGGGGTGCCTCCAGCCAGCCTTGAGCTGCTTTGCCAGCCCCCAGCTGGGTAGTTCCCAAAGATCTCCTCTGCCAGCACACAGTTCCCAGACTCCCCCTCCTGCCTGCCTTGCCCTGCCTCTGGCTCTAGTGACCTGCTGGGCTCATGGTTCAGGAAGGCACAGCTGCCAGTGGATTCTGGTTTAGTAGATGCCCAGGTGGCCTGTGGAACTAGGGGAGCCTCACCCAAGATGTGCTGGCAGCAGCCGGGAATGTAGAGGGAAGGGTCAGAGGGGAAGTAGGCCATGCAGGAAGGGCCGTACAAACTGCAGACCGATGTATGGCTCTAGCCCCATGCAAGGCTGGCCTGGGCAGGAGGGTCAAGGGCAGTCCATGAGACTCTGGACCACAAGAATGTGACTTGGGTGTAGTTGGGAAGAGTATCAGCATCCAGTCCTCTTCAGCATGGGGATCTAACACAGAAGGTGGTAGGGAGATCTTTAGAACTGGGGGTCCTCAGGTGAGTACCCAAGGCTGCCGGGAGAGTCTCACCAAACAAAGGCTCTGTCGGGCCCCTTCTCGGAGGCCCCTTCTAAGGCGAACATCCTTGCTGGCATGGAGTCAGTGCATTCTGCGAGGCAGACAGGTACGTGACCTGTCAGCAGGGCCTGGGGGTATGGAGCTGGGGAACTCTGTCTGGCCTCAGCCATTCTTGTCCAAACCTTGTCTGCCACATCAGCTTTCTGGCCTGGGCTGGTCAGATTGGCAGAAGGCTGTGGTGTCTTTCACAGCAGATTCCCCCGGAGAGGGCCTGAGGGACATCAGGTGGTTATCCTCTTTCCCCAGGAGGCACCAATGTCGGGAGATGCGATCCCTGGATAGCAGCAATTTCTCAGGAGCTTCACTGGGCTTGGCTGATCCTAAATGGGCAGTGGCTTGTGGCTCCTGCTGCCAGGTGTGGGAAGCCACACTGAGCCATGAGCCAGGACTTGGGTGGGATACAGGTCCAAAGTGAGCCCCAGCTCCACCGGCACCTGTGGAGCGTAGGTCTGGTGGGCCCCAGGTGAATGCTGCTGGGGACTGCGGGCTAGGAGCAGAGAAGAACATGGTAAATGGCTGGGAATGGTGCCCAGGGACTTAGTCTGGCCTGTCTACAAGGGACATACTTTGTGTGCAGCTGATTGGCAAGTGCCTTGTGCAAAGCCAGGGTTCAGTAAGACTTGGCCCTCTCCAACTGGTGCAGGTGGCTCCAGTTTCTGTTGGGGCTTTGGCCGCCTTTCTTTCCTCCCCCTTGGCCCTTCTGTGTCAGGTGATCTATTTCAAGCCTCTTAGTGGGATGAAAGGGTCTGCTGGGGGCAGGAGCCCCTACTCCCAGATGTGGCTCCAGCCTGAGGCAATGTAGCACTGCAGTTAGAAGGGAACTTGGGGTTTAATGTAGCCTTCTGTGAGCTCTTGGCCAATTTGTAGCAGGGGGGACCCCACGGCCCTTTGAAGAGGCCGGAGACCGGGAGCGACCTTCTCCCAGGGTCTGTAGTCCCACTCAGCCCCTCACATCCCAGAGAAAACAGGGAAGATGTGGCCACAGAAGGCAGCCTTGTAGCCTTTTATCTCTGGGCAGGCAGTGGCTGCTGATCATGTACCCCTGGTGCCCCATGAGCTCTGAGGACTGCAGAGGGTAGATTTAGGGGCCTCTCAGCTCTCAAGGAGATGAATTTTAGTGGGCAGAGATGGTTTCAAGCTCAGGGAGAAACAGCTAGAATTTGAGTGGGGCTCGGACCTGCTGGGAAAACCAAGACTTTCCATGGTGTCAGTCATCCCTCTTTTTTATGACATTTGATTCCAGGGGATCCCTTTTAGATCTGTTATTTCCTTCTCATAGACTCATGGGTGAGAGCTAAAATAGCCCCATAGGTCAGCTAGGGTCCAAATGCCTCACTGTGTAGATGGGGAAGCTGGAGCCCAGAAAGGAAAACCATTCTTGCCTTCAGTCCCCCAGCAAGTCTTGGCCCAGTACCTGCTTTTGTGGCTTAAGTCAATTGTTTCCTGTGTCATCAGGCAGAGGAGCAGCTAAGGGAGAGGGCGTAGGAGGAGGGAGGGGTGGCAGCTCCCTCAGAGAAGGGAAGCAGTCACAGAGCCTCCCCTTCCCAGACGTGCATCTGGGGACACCAGGGGGCAGCAGGCTCAGGTTTGTGCCTGTTCTGCTGCCTGTGAGGGTGAGTGGTTTACCTGACGGGACGGCAGCGGACAGGGCCGAATGGCTCTCCAGATCCCTCCAGATGTGAGCGCCAGGCGTCTCTGGCCTGTCACTAAATGGGGCAACTGGTGTCCCTTAAATGGGCAGTGGTAGTTCCCTGGACAGCTTGTCAGGGATGGAGCAGGCTGAGGTGGGCTGAAAAATTGGCCTAGTGAGAGAAAATGGGTGGGATTGGAGGAACTTTACACGGAGGGGGCTTTCTGGGAGGGAGGAAGATGGCAGTGAGGGTAGGAGACTGGCCAGGCTGTCACAGATTTGAGAAGCCGAGCACGGGCCGGGGATCGGGGGAGCGTGCAACACGAGGGACTTAACACTGACAGATCTTGGTTCCCTAGAAAGAAAACCAGAAATGTGCTGATCTCCGGCCCCAAGTCCAGGCTGGCAGGGCTGAGACCTCAGCACCGGCTGTGGGGGAAATGCAGGAGCCTTGCATAGTGCAGAGGGATGAACCAGAGTCCAAGTAGGGGTGCAGCCGCGGCTGTGCCTGCAGTCCCTCCTGCACTTGCCCTGCGTGAACCTGAGAGAAGGGGCTGCTTCCTGGGGAGTTTTGCGTGAGGACCTTACAGGAATCCGTAGGACCAAGGGAAAGCAAGCAAATGGCAGCAAAATCCCAACTCTTGCCTTCTGACTGACTGCGGAAGTCCAGGCAGGTGGCAGGAGAGGAAGGGGGTCACCCTCAGGATGACATCTGGTCTAAAGGTGGGGCAGAATCTGAAGCAGTAGGGTCTTTGGGACCAGAATAGTTCAGCTGCTCACCAGCGCTCTTCCTTTGCAGGTGCTCTGAGAACCCTGAAGCCGCTGAGCCCAGCCATGATACGGCCACCGGAAACCCCGAAGGGGGCCTGGTTTCCGGAGACTCCTCTGTGAGAAAGCCTTTGGAGAAGCCCGCACAGGGTCGCTCCCGGCTCCTGTGAGGAAGGGGCTCGGGGAAGGCTGGGCTGCAGCTATGGACCGTGAGCTGGCCCAGCCCTCGTCCCTGCTGAGCCTGCCCGTCTGCGGCTGCTCCCGCCATGGGCTCCCTGGTGTACATCACGGTGGAGCTGGTCATCGCCGTGCTGGCCATCCTGGGCAACGTGCTGGTGTGCTGGGCCGTGTGGATCAACAGCAACCTGCAGAATGTCACCAACTACTTTGTGGTGTCCCTGGCAGCGGCCGACATCGCAGTGGGGGTGCTTGCCATCCCTTTCGCCATCACCATCAGCACTGGGTTCTGTGCTGCCTGCCATGGCTGCCTCTTCTTCGCCTGCTTTGTCCTGGTCCTCACACAGAGCTCCATCTTCAGCCTCCTGGCCATTGCCATTGACCGCTACATCGCCATCCGCCTCCCCCTGCGGTGAGCCGGGGCGTGGGGCTGAGGTGGTGAGCAGGCTTGCGGGCCCTGGTCTGGTCTGTGCTGTCACTGCCTGGGGCTGAGGACGGGGCCCTGGGGCTCAGTCTGGGACTTCCCAGGGCTGGCAGATGGGCAGTCATCACGCCGACCTGGCTGATCCCTCTGGAAACTGGGTGCCCTGGCCTTCCTTCCTCCCTCAGGCCACAAGGGGAGGGTTCACCTGGGCTGTTCTTCGCACCATCAGAGCAAAACTCCCCCTGTGGTGCTGTGGTGGATGAGGAGCCACAGGAGACCGTAGGGCCTCAGCTGGGAGCCTGTCTGCTGCCTGTCTGTCCCCTGCTCCTCAGGGCTGGCTTCAGCGTGAACATTAGGAGAACGACCCAGAGAAGGGAAGTGACTTGGCCAAATGTCACAGTGAGTCACTTCAACTTACATGCAAATTATGTTGCTTCTCAGTCCCCAAGGACTGGGCCTGCTCTGGGCTGGTGGTGGGAGGGGGATTTTCACAGTGCATCTTTTGTGAAGTGACTTCAGCCAAGTATTGTGCAAATGAAGGCATTCCGGGAGGCTGAGTTTCCCTGGTGTGGCCTCCACCTATCCAGGCTATAGAGGAGCTAGAAAGTGTATCCCTGGGGCCTCTGGGTCCACCTCCTTGTTCCTTCACCACGGAGCTGGGGTCCACAGCCGCAGTGGCTACAGGCCCCCGAGGGAAGTTTCCCTGTTTGGGGAGCCAAGTGTGCTGTCCGCAAGGTGAATTCTCCCAAATGGTTGGAGGGCCCACCAGGAGGGAGCGCCAGCATCCCCACTGTGTTCTGAGAGCACCTCAGCAGGGAGGAGGATCGGGCTTAGTGAGCAAATGGAAATTCAAAGTGTCAAACCCAAGGAGGCCCTCAGAGGTCACTTCCTTCCTCTCATCTTCTGAATGGAAAAATGAGGCCCTGAGAAAGGAGCCAGCGCTCTCAGGGCCACACAAGGAGTTGATGGCTGAGCTGGGAGTAGACCTGGGATAAATCATAGCCTGCCACCACTGGGACAGCACTCTTTAGGGCGTGATCAGAGGCAGCCCAGTCTCCCAGCAGTGCACTTGGTGGTCACAGCCACTGCCTGAGCCCTAAGGGGGAAGCAGGCATTCACATCAAGCTGCACAACAGAAGAGGTGGAGCCTGGACCTCTTGTTGCCCCAAATCCCTTGTCAAAGGAGAAAGAGGACCCTGGCTGGACCTAAAAGGGGGGTGAATTAGAGGAGCCTGGACCTCTTGTTGCCCAAATCTCTTGTCAAAAGAGAAAGAGGACCCTGGCTGGACCTAAAAGGGGGGTGAATTGGAGGTGGTCTGACTCGCTGCACAGTGTGTGGAGAGATAGCCTGGGACCTCACAGCCCCCATCTCTTGCCCCAGGGTGTGGAGCAGAATCTGCATTCATCCAGTGACCGATCAGAACACAGAGGCCCAGGGGAGCCTTCTGGAGGTACCAGGCGGTCTTGAGTCCATGCAGTGGTGGGCACTGAGGGGAATCAGCGGTCTAGTGCTCACTTTCTTCTAGGATTCAAAGGGTAACAACCCTCTGGGGAGAAGTCAGGGCAGGTGTTCTCAATCTAAAGACCTTAGCTTTGTTTTCCCCACTGGTCTCTCCTTCTCGACTCTGTTTTCTGAGGGTCAACAGAATGGGTCCCTGAAGTGGTGGGATGGGACATTCTGTGTGGCTGTGGAAAGTCGGCTGCCCTTCTCTGGGCCCACTTCCTCTTCCACAGTGGGGATAAGTCTTTCTGTCTCTTGAGTTTACAGAGGTTTTGAGGGAGCAGTGCATGAATGGGAGTGGTGAGACTAGGCAGGGTGGGGATTCAGCTTTTGTTTTTTTGTCAAGTACTAGAGGTTAAACCCAGGGCCTCCGCACTGAGCTACATTCCCCAGCACACGCCCCCTTTCGAGATGGCCTCACCAAGTCCCTGAGCTGCCTAGACTGGATTCGAACTCACAGTGATCCTCCTGCCTTGGCCCCCAAAGAGCTGAGGTTGCAGGTGTGCACCACCACGCCTGACACTCTGCTCTTTCTTTAGCTGCCGAAGGTTTGGAGTCTTGGGTCTGTCCTGACTCTAATCTGTATTCTAGACTCTTAGGACCTCTCAAAGCTGCACCTCAGTGCCACCTGGACCTTGGGCCATTTGAGCTCTGCTGGGTCAAGCTTTGGAAAGCTCGGGCTGGTCTCCTTGGCAGGATGCCTACGCTCCTCCTGCTCCACAGGCAGAAGGTGTTACAGTCACAGAGGATGTTAGCATCGCATTTCTTTTGGTCCTCTCGGCCAGCTGAGCATTGAGGCTGGTGTGAATGTTATGACCCCCATGTTACTCATGGGCAGGCCAGAGCCAGGGAGGGACGTACACTCATCATCTGATGTGGGTCGATTCTAGAGCCCTTTGCACTGTTCTTGGCCTCTGGGTCCCTTGCTTTTCTGTTTCGAGAAGTCTGTGGCAGCTGGGTATGTGGAGGTACCTGTGTGGAGACTCCTGAGAGTAAGCTGGGTCTGACCTCTGGATGAAGGACACTGAGAACTGAAAATCACAGCTGCCCCTGGAGCCACGCCTGACTCAGAGTCCTCCTTCTTTCTTCACAACTGGAAATCCAGCCCCTCTCTGTGATCTGCTGTTCCGCTCAGGAAGGTCCACGGGGCTACTCTAGGGTCTAGTCTCTGAAGCCTAGCCCCAGGCCTCCACCACACATCTGTAGCTTTTTTTTTTTTAAGATTTCAGCTTCAGAGCCAGTTGTGGTAATGCAGGAGTGTAATCGCAGCACTCGGGAAGCTGAGGCAGGAGGATTGCCATGATTTTGAGACCAGCCTGGGCTACATAGTGAGTTGAAGACCAGTCTGAGCTAATAGCAAGACCCTGTCTCAAAAAAACTGAAAAACAAACAAAAACAAAAAAAATACAGCCTGCAAATATGTACAGTCTACTCTGTTTCCAAAAAAACAGAAAGAACTGGTAAAAGACAGGGCTAGGTGCTGCACAGTGTGGTGATGCTCTAACTTCATAAAATTTAATTTCTGTAAATTGCCTACCTCTGATCTAGTAGCAAATGTCATTACACAGACCATGTCTACCCCATTACTTAGTGTCTCCTT